TGGCCGGAAGTGACGTCACTGGCCGGTCCGGCGGCAGACGACGCCACGTGTGCAGGTAGGAGGAGCGAGGAATGTGGGTTGCTGTTGGGATGGGGTAGTTGGGGGAGACATGTTTGCCCCCGGTGGGTTGCTGTTGGGATGGGGGTAGTTGGGGGAGACATGTTTGTCCCCGGTGGGTTGCTGTCGGGATGGGGTAGTTGGGGGAGGCATGTTTGCCCCCGGTGGTTTGCTGTCGGGATGGGGTAGTTGGGGGAGGCATGTTTGCCCCCGGTGGGTTGCTGTCGGGGTACAGGGGGGGTCCTGGGATGGGGGGAAGTTGGGGGGACTCTTGGAGGAATGGGGGAGGGGCTCCTCATTGTAATATGTCTTGGTTGGGTTGCTCCAGGTGTCCCGGCCGGCCATAAACTTCCTGAAGTTGGTGCAGAATGAGCCGCTCTTTAACGTGAAGTATTTGAATGAGCGCCTGTACCAGCACACGGAGACCATGCGTCAGATGCAGCGCAACCGCGAGAAGCTGCGTCTCCTCGGAGAATATCTGATGACGTGTCGCAGTGGAGCTCTGCAGGAACTGAGCGCAAGGTGAGCGCCGAATGCCACGAGGGGTGATGGCACGTGCTGTAAAGTGAGGATGCCGGTGTCATAATTATTCCCCCAGTCCTTACTTTGGGACTACACCATGATCCTGTACCGGATGAAGATGGGGGAGTAGGTGGGTCTGAGCAGTTTAGCAAAACGCACTGGGCAGGGCTGACACTACTCGGTCCACAAAAGTCCTGAGTCTTGTCAACCCCCAACAGGAAGTCCAACATGTTTCTCTACTTAACCCTTTTGCTGCCACGCAATCCTGTAAAGTTATTGGAGAGAGAGCATGTGTGAAACACTGCCCATGTACCATACACTGCCCATGTACCATACACTGCCCATGTACCATACACTGCCCATGTACCATACACTGCCCGTATACCATACACTGCCCGTATACCGTACGCTGCCCGTATACCGTACACTGCCCGTATACCGTACACTTCTCGGAGAATATCTGATGACGTGTCGCAGTGGAGCTCTGCAGGAACTGAGCGCAAGGTGAGCGCCGAATGCCACGAGGGGTGATGGCACGTGCTGTAAAGTGAGGATGCCGGTGTCATAATTATTCCCCCAGTCCTTACTTTGGGACTACACCATGATCCTGTACCGGATGAAGATGGGGGAGTAGGTGGGTCTGAGCAGTTTAGCAAAACGCACTGGGCAGGGCTGACACTACTCGGTCCACAAAAGTCCTGAGTCTTGTCAACCCCCAACAGGAAGTCCAACATGTTTCTCTACTTAACCCTTTTGCTGCCACGCAATCCTGTAAAGTTATTGGAGAGAGAGCATGTGTGAAACACTGCCCATGTACCATACACTGCCCATGTACCATACACTGCCCATGTACCATACACTGCCCATGTACCATACACTGCCCATGTACCATACACTGCCCATGTACCATACACTGCCCGTATACCATACACTGCCCGTATACCGTACGCTGCCCGTATACCGTACACTGCCCGTATACCGTACGCTGCCCGTATACCGTACGCTGCCCGTATACCGTACGCTGCCCGTATACCGTACGCTGCCCGTATACCGTACGCTGCCCGTATACCGTACGCTGCCCCTATACCGTACACTGCCCGTATACCGTACACTGCCCATATACCGTACACTGCTGTACATAGGTTGTAGGGGTATGTGGGGAGGTCCTCCATACTGGGGATGTGCTCTGACACATTACAGCTGGTCAGTTTAATAGCATCATGCAGTACCCCCTCCCACCCCGGGGGGTGCCAGACATATATTGCATGCACTGTGCCCTTCTCTCATTGCCTTTTCATTTTTTGTTACAGTTTGGATCAGCGCAATTACCTTCTGGACTGCGCTCACACATACAGCGTGCGGGACCTCAAACAGGTACAGTATGGTGTGAGAGCTGGCGGGGTGCGCTGATTGGGGTCAGGGCTCCCTGTGTGCTCTGTGTGGGGTCAGGGCTCCCTGTGTGCGCTGTGTGGGGTCAGGGCTCCCTGTGTGCGCTGTGTGGGGTCAGGGCTCCCTGTGTGCGCTGTGTGGGGTCAGGGCTCCCTGTGTGCGCTGTGTGGGGTCAGGGCTCCCTGTGTGCGCTGTGTGGGGTCAGGGCTCCCTGTGTGCGCTGTGTGGGGTCAGGGCTCCCTGTGTGCGCTGTGTGGGGTCAGGGCTCCCTGTGTGCGCTGTGTGGGGTCAGGGCTCCCTGTGTGCGCTGTGTGGGGTCAGGGCTCCCTGTGTGCGCTGTGTGGGGTCAGGGCTCCCTGTGTGCGCTGTGTGGGGTCAGGGCTCCCTGTGTGCGCTGTGTGGGGTCAGGGCTCCCTGTGTGCGCTGTGTGGGGTCAGGGCTCCCTGTGTGCGCTGTGTGGGGTCAGGGCTCCCTGTGTGCGCTGTGTGGGGTCAGGGCTCCCTGTGTGCGCTGTGTGGGGTCAGGGCTCCCTGTGTGCGCTGTGTGGGGTCAGGGCTCCCTGTGTGCGCTGTGTGGGGTCAGGGCTCCCTGTGTGCGCTGTGTGGGGTCAGGGCTCCCTGTGTGCGCTGTGTGGGGTCAGGGCTCCCTGTGTGCGCTGTGTGGGGTCAGGGCTCCCTGTGTGCGCTGTGTGGGGTCAGGGCTCCCTGTGTGCGCTGTGTGGGGTCAGGGCTCCCTGTGTGCGCTGTGTGGGGTCAGGGCTCCCTGTGTGCGCTGTGTGGGGTCAGGGCTCCCTGTGTGCGCTGTGTGGGGTCAGGGCTCCCTGTGTGCGCTGTGTGGGGTCAGGGCTCCCTGTGTGCGCTGTGTGGGGTCAGGGCTCCCTGTGTGCGCTGTGTGGGGTCAGGGCTCCCTGTGTGCGCTGTGTGGGGTCAGGGCTCCCTGTGTGCGCTGTGTGGGGTCAGGGCTCCCTGTGTGCGCTGTGTGGGGTCAGGGCTCCCTGTGTGCGCTGTGTGGGGTCAGGGCTCCCTGTGTGCGCTGTGTGGGGTCAGGGCTCCCTATGTCTGCTGTGTGTTTTGTACTCTAGTAGGAGCTTATATTTGGGGGTAGTACTGCCACTCCTCCTGACGGGAGTTCTTTATCCTCGGATACTGTTGAACCGTTTGTGGTACCCCTCAGCTCTACCCCCCTTTCCTGGGACCTCCGGACCTTCAGGTTCCTATTGTTCCCTTATCTAGTACAGACCTGTCCATTCATTGGCTCCAAGAAGCACCTGTTACAGCTCAGAACACTGGACCCCAATCTCCTCCCTCGTGTTTTCTTCATGGCACCTCCATTGTGGAATGCTCCAGAAACCCTCCCTGAAGAGGGTCAGTCTACGTCCTTCCAATGGATCGAACACCCGCAGGCAGGGCAGCCATCAGGAGGGTACGCCAGATACTCGTGTAGGGGGCCCGGGCAGCCTGGGGGGGCCCGCCCGAGTGGCCTAAAGCCGTGTAAGGGGCCCTGAAATTTCTGATGGCTGCCCTGCCCGCAGGCTTCATCTGTACACGGCTTCCCCCGGTGTCTGGCGTTGGTATCTTTTGGTCACCAGGGAGTGAGGCAGATCAGCTTGAGTTCTCAATCCCTGTGGACCATCGATCCCTACTTCAGTGGTCAAAGAAATCCCCCCTTTTTCCCCTGTCAGAGCTTCTAGGATATTAGGGGATTGCCCTCCAGACATGGTCTCCCTTTCTCTTGCAGACCTCAGACCCTTTCAGCCTCTTCCTCTACGTGTCAGAGGGTTTAGGGTGAGACATCCAGATGGTCTCTTTGGAACAAGACGCCCCAGATGCAACTTGTCAGCGCTTTGAAGGGGATGGAGTCACCCCCCCCCTCCCCCTCCCCCATCTAGGACTTCTCT